GGGGTTCCCAGGGATCGCCCAAGAGGCGCCCCAACACACCCCAAGAAATCATGTCCCCAGAAAACCTTCCGGGGACATGATTCATCATGGGCCCGAGAGTTCCTGGAGGCCCCTAAGGCGCCCCCAGGGAACGCCCAAGAAGAGACCCCCAAACACACCCCAACAAACCATGTCCCCAGAAAGCCTTCCGGAGACATGGTTCATCATGGGCCCGCGAGTCTCCAGAGGCTTCGAAGTACCATCATGCAACAGGAGAGCTGTCTGGGAAGTTGATTGGGAACATGACTGATCGCCTTCTCGCGGCCGTCCGCAGATCGTTTCGCACAAAGTTGCCCCAAGTGCCCTCTTGAACCGACGACGACGACGACGACGACGACGGCGCGCCCCAATAGGCGACGACGACATTACGACGACGACGACGACGGCACGCCCCAACAGGCTCCCCAAGACGCCCCCAAACCCATGCTCCCAGAAGGCCTTCTGGGAACCCGATTCATACGGCCTCCGCCCCCCTACACAACCATTTTCCTCGAAGGCCTTTCGGAATGCAGATTGGCATGCGTGTACTGTGGTCCACTACTTCAGTGGAGCAGTGAACTCGTCAAGGCCTGGGGCCTGCTAGAACGTGAGCGCGCGAAGCGCGCGCGATGGTTCTAATACATATATATATATATATATATATATATATTCGGGGCATTCGTGTTTGGGAGGTCCTTGCGAAGCTTCGATTTGTTAAAGGATTTCGGCATGCGCGCGCGACGACGCGCGCGTGCGCACGTTGTTCCATTTTTTGCAGGAGGTTATTGCGACGGCATGCGCGAAAGGGCGTTCGATCTATTTTGACATGCGCGCGCGAGATGCCCGCTTGACTGCACGTCGTGAAAATGTTGAAAAACCGAGGATTTTGCGAAGAATTCGCAAGAGCCCGGTTGCAGCTTTTTTTTTTTTTTTCATATTGAAGCTGTTGCGAACCATGTAAATTGTAATGTTTTCGTGATTTTCGGTTTTGATATCCTTGCGAAATTCTCGGGTTTTGAAGGATTTCGGCAAGCGCGCGACGACGCGCGCGTATGCACTTCGTCCAGCTTTTTGTGGAAGAGGTTCTTGAGCACGGATGATTATTGATAAACGAGTGCGCGCGCACAGTATATTGTTGCAGAGGATTTGGGGCTGAAGTCCGGAGTGGCTGGGATGGTATGATATCATGAGGAAAATGAGCAAGGAGACACAATTATACGTAACTTGAAATGCGAGAGGCTGGCCCGATAAGTCCGGGGGCGGGATGGGGGTCAACTCTATTTTCTGGTTAAAAGAATCCATGTGGAGCATTCAATGTACGACGAGTCGGTGACGGCGGCGACATGGCGGCCAGAGCGGGCGGCGACGAGGCGGCGACGGCGACGACATAGCTGCCAGAGCGGTTCGCAGGCTCAGTTCCTTAGAATAGAAATAAGAACCCCTGGGTGCAAACACTCTTTGGGAACATATATCTTTGTGTAAATGTCCATATCCATATCCACCGCCTCCCGACTTCAGCACAATCGGATGAGCAGCTGGCCCGAGGGACTCCGGAGCGTTTTGGCTCAGCTTTCCCCGTCCTCCTCCGCCGCCGCCGCACCGAGGGCTGGCCATGGCCGGCGCCAAGCCAAGCCCGGGCGGCGACGCCAGCAAGTTGGTGCTCGTGGTCTTCGGCGTCGGGTTCGGCCTCGGGGTCACGGCCGGGTGGCAGTCCGCGTGCGCGCTCTACCGCACCGAGGACCGGAGAGAAGCGGTGCGCGCCAAGGTCGGCATGTACCTCTCGCTGTACGGCGGCTTCGGCCTCGCCGCGATGCTGGCGATGGGCCACCTGGCTCGGCGGTGACTGGCGCTGCCGCCTGTCAGCGACGGCCCCGTGAAGGCGCTCGAGGGCGCAGGCGTTGCGGAGCGTGCCATAGACTGCGAGAGAGGGGCGCGCCGCTGCTGCGGGGAAGGGCGCTGCTCATTTTGTTGCACATGGGTCGCGGAGCCGCCGCTTGTCGTGCCCGTATGATTGGCAGTGTCGCTGCCACAGAAATGGAACAACAACTCCCCATGCCTGCGAAGAGATGCCGCGAGTGGAGGCTCTTTCGCCTCCCTCCCTCCGCCTCTTCCCCCTCAGACATCTGGCGCGCTGTGTTTTTTTGTCCCCCCCCCCTCTCCCCCCCTCCCCAGATGTATGGCGGACTTGCTGCTTTCAATGTCGGCGTGTTTCCTTGATGGGCTCCCTGGGCCATCGGATTCGATCCAGGATACGGTCGGGCACTCGCGGATAGCGTGTCGCTCCGCCGGCTCGGGCCCACCACGCTTCGGCGCGACGCGCTATCCACTTCCTTCCCAGCCCCCAGGCTTCAACGTCCCGAGCCTTTCCGAGCCTGCCGGCCCGCGGAGCAGAGCGGCACGCTATCCGCTCGCAGGGCACAGCGTGTCGCCGCGGCAGGAACTTTTTGCATGGCGTGTCGCAGCCCCGGAGGCCCGCAGCCTCCAGGGGGGCGGCGCCGCAGGCGGCGCAGGCGGCCCCGGGCCGCTCTGGCGGGCCCGTGGGCAAGCCGGGGCCCCTCTCCCAGGATGGCCGCTCTGCTGCGGCCCAGTGCTCGGCGGGCATAAACATGGCAGGGGCACTATACATACGTATATATATATATATATATATATGTATATACATATATACATATATATATATACATGCACACACCATATATATGTACATACATACATATATATATATACACGATACCGGGGAAAAACAATCAGGGCTATAGGACTAGGGGGCTATAGGGCTATTGAGCTATAGGGCTATAGAGATAGGGCTCTATAGGGCGATTGGGCTATAGGGCTATAGGGCTATAGGGCTTAGGGATATAGGGCTATAGGGCACCCCCGGGCACGCCCGGGCACCCGGGCACCCGGGCACCCGGGCACCCGGGCGTGCGGCGAAAATCGGCGGCAAACCTAACCTAATCATATGAATCCGCTAGGACCCCTACAGAGGCAAGCTCTGAGTGGGGAACATGCATACACACATACATACATACATACATACATACATGAATGCATGCATGCATGCATGCATACATACATACATACATACATACAAGTATACACACATACATCCGTACATACATACATACGTACATACATACATACATACCTACATACATACATACAAACATACATACGTACGTACGTACGTACATACATACATACATACATCCATACATACATACATGCATGCATGCATACATGCATGCATACATACATACATACATGCATACATACATGCATACACACATACATACATACATCCATACATACATACATACATACATGCATGCATGCATGCATGCATGCATGCATGCATGCATGCATGCATGCATACATACATACATAGGTCCGCGCGGATTGCTCGGGTCTGCGCTAACCCCCCGTCCCTGTCGCGCGGAGCGCGCCAGGGGCCGCGCCAGAGTCGCCGCCGGGGGGGTCCAGCGCCGAGAAATCCGCGCGTACCTCCGAAAGTGTATATTCATGCCATGTACTGTTTCCCGAATTGTGTGTAACCCCCGTCAGCTCCACTGATGGCACGCAGCCCGCGTCGGCCCTTATTGCACTGGCTGCGTCGTCTGCAGCGTGAGGCCATGGTTACCAACGCATGCCCGCCTCCCTCATGTCCCTCACCCGCATGGGTCCCATAACGGGAGCGACCACAGAACCAACATCCTGAGTGAACATTTTTTTGTTTCATGTGTTCCTTCCCCACGTCTGTCTACGTCCCCCCCCCGTCCTCTGCACCCCTGCCGCGTCATTTGGAGGCAAGGTGCTGAACTGATGTTTCTCTGTTCTGCACGGGACAGATCTGTCGGCTCTAATCATGCCCTGTTTCCTCAGAGGCAGTGGAGCGGTTTTGCTTGCTCGCTTGCTCGCCTCGGCCTGCCCCTCACACGAGATACGACGCTCTGAGCTTGAGAACGCACGCGCCAGGCGCGCGGCTGCAGTTTGCTCAGGCCTCCTTCGCTGGTGATCAGCAGCTTTTTTTTTGGGGGGGGGTCGACTCGTCATTCAAGGCGCCGCCTCGACGCCTTACGCATGGGACTGAGAAAGGGCTTGCCGCTCAGGTGTGGAGTGAAGGATTCGGACAGCGGCTTGGCATCGATCGGACGTGTGCATTTTTCCAAGCGAGCATCATCGAGGAGTATCCTAGATCCTTCAGGGGACAAAAACACGCACGAAACCACAATATGCACAGGGAGCGGACGTCCGAGCCATAGCAAGGTGGTGCACACGGGCCTGCGGTGAACGCAGGTCTGCCCGCGCACATGAGCACGCCGAGCGCAGGGGAGGCAGGCCACCCCCTGCAGGAGCCAGCCTAACCCCTGAGGGTCTTTTGTTTTCCTACCCCCCCCGTTTCGCTCGGCGGGGATTCCGCCGCGGCGATTTGTTTCATCCCAGTGTCTTTCGGTGTTCAGTGAGTCCGCCCAGATTTTTTGGGTCGGCACGAGGCCCCCTGGCGGCGCCTCTGGCGCCGCTCCTGGCGCGTTGCGCGCGCAGTGGAAAAGGGGGCCAGCGCCGACCCAATCAATCCATGGGCGAGCCTTGGACAGTTTAAGATCGCTTTGTTCGTTGTTCCTCTACGGATCCTCCCCCCCTTTCTCCTGCCTGTGACGCTTGTGAACACGGAGCTGGCCTTCCCGGGCTGGCGGCGGCGGTCTCGTGACTCCATTCCCTCTGCTCCTCTCCCAGACCTCTGGAGGTTTCATGCAAGTAATCCTGGAGTTGTTCCACCGTTTCGGCCATCTAGGCCCGTTTTTTCGGGCCCAGTGGCCATCAGAAATTGACGCGGGACGCCAAGCTGGCCTTGGGGAGTTCTGAGACTTGCAGGCCCCGCGGGTTGAGAAAAGAAATCCTCTCTGAAACCTACGCCTCCGCGCACAGTTGGCACTGTCGGGGCATGCTCTCAGCACACAAGAGCTGCCTTCTCGGGCGGACAGGGGATGACCTGCGCCTCCTCTTCACCAATCAGCTGGTGGACCCGTGCTTCGACGCCGTGGTCTCCCTCAGCCCCCGGCCGCGCCGTGCGCGGTGAGGGTCACTTCTTGGGGGGCGGGCCGAGCTTTTGGAGGAGTTTGGCTGAGAGGGCGGCGGCAGAGAAGGCAGAGGCGGAGGAGGAGGAGGAGGAGGAGGAGGAGGAGGAGCGCGTGCTCGCTTGCAGAAGACTGATGGCGCAGCCCACCAGCCTTCGGGCACACTGGCAGGGGCCTGTGTGCGGTGCCGATGTCGACTTCGCGCGTCGCCGTCGGCTCGCCAGCAGAGTGCTGGAGCCAGCGGAGGATCGCAGTGCGTGCCTGTGGAAAGCCAGCACGCGGCATAAGACGTACGTAAGCTTTCGGGCGTCCGCGCGGACACGTGCTGCTCCCCTCCACGCAGCGCTTCCCCCACGGCGCGCGGATGGATGGCCCGCCAGGGGGGCGACGCTGGAGGCTCCGCCATGTGGGGTGCGGGAGAGGGAGGAGGTCCAGCGCCGGCCCACAAGATCCACGCAGATCTCCAGAGGCTACAGTCGGACCGAGGTGTAAGATCGAGGTCTAGCGTTCTTTGTGCTTGTGGGATGCTCTTGTCCCCCCTGGGGAGGGTACCCTTGGATGTTCCGTGTGTGTGTGTGTATTGATTGGCGGATGGTCTCGTGTTCTTGAGGGATGTGCTCCCGCCCTAGGTTTAATTGTCGCGTGTTCTGGGGTGGCCTTGACCGCATCTGGAGCCCCGCCTGGGGCAGTCCTTCGCTACGGACATCCTCGCGTGACGGCCCCCCCGGCCCGCGCCTCCTCCGCGTGCCTCCTTGCGCGGCGCGCCCCGCCGGCTTCAGAGCGCGTCTACTACGAGCCCGCCACTCTCTGCGGGCAGAGGAGTTTGACGACCCCTGGGCTGGGGCCGGACAGGGCGGTCGGGGCATTAAACAGAGGTCTTAAGCCAGACACCCCCTCCTCTTCCCCTTCCCCCCAATGATGAAACGCCAAATTAGAAAACGTTTACAAATCCGACCTGTTTCTGGACGACCAATACTTTGGGCATATGTCAACTGCCGTTCTCACTTCCTAGCCGCAACCGTCAATGGACACGTTGGTTGCCGCTACGTACACAAACATTTGGGGTGGATGCGTCTATAGACAACGCGGCCGTTGCGTTCGGCGCAGTACAAGGTCGGAGACAGGGTAGAGGGTAGATATGTCTACGGCATGTTCCGACGCAGAAAATTGGGTCGTCTTCACCGACATTGGCGCGTAAGCTGCCCGCGTCAGGTCGCTCGTCAGCGCTCTCGGTTCCAGTGTGGTGTGCCGCGCTGGCGGCCCGCGTGAGCCCCCGCGTATGACCGCCGTCTCATTTCGCGTAAGACCCGCTTGTTTCCGTCACTCACATGCACATCCACAGACGGGTGTTCGGGTGCAATTCCTGAGAGGTCAAATTCAGATGTTGCCCTTGTCCGAACTCCAGCCTCATCCGGCTTAATCCCGTTGAGTGCGGCTTTACGCCGATTAATCCAGCTTTATCCCGTTTCATCCGTGGCCTCATTTGGCGTAGCAGCCCACCAATGGGTCTTAATCCCCCTCAGTCCTTCGTAGTTGCTTCCTAACGGGTGCCGCCAGCGTCGGACATCTCCTCATCCTCGCGCACGTGCTGGCGGAGCCGAGCTCCTCGGTGGCCCTCCTACCCGGCGGGCTGCGCCCGCGCACGCTCGCGCGCCGCCACGCCCGAGGCGTGTTTGCCTCGAGGGGGGAGCGGCCAGCGCGCGGGCGCCCATCGAAGGAGAAACATCGGCGATGAGCAGAAGTCGAGGGCAACGTGACGCGCGGGATAGGCTCAGGGGGGGGGGCACGTCGACGTCCAAGCGCTAGGATGCAATTCCTGGGAGGTTGAATTCTGTGTCGGCGCTGGTATTTTCGCGGTCGATCACCAGCTTTATTTGGGCTAAAACGGCTTAATCCAATTTGATCTGGCTTATTTGGCTTAATCACGGGCTTAATCCGGTCTGATCTGGTTTTAATCGTCTTTCATCGTTTGAAGGAAGACCTCCCAGAAGTTGCCTCCTAACAAGGGCCCATTTATATCCGAGATGAGCCAGGTGACCCCCTGTCGCCGGTCTATCGGCGATGTATAGCCGATTCCAGCTCGATGTCCCCCCCCCTGGCATGAGCAGAAGTCGGGGGCAACGTGAGGCACGGGATCCGGTCGGGAACTTCTGGATAGCGAATCGCTCCGCCTGCTTTGGCCCTCTGCGCTTCGCCACGACACGCTGTCCGCTTCCTGGTTCCCCAGCGTCAACGTCCTGAGCTTTTCCGAGCCTCCCGCCCTACCCCTACCCCCCACGATTTCTGAGGGGGAGGGAGGCCCCCGAACGGAGTGAACCCCACCCTCCCCCTCAGAAATCGTGGGGGGTAGGGGTAGGGTTCGCATGTGGCCCCCTAAGTACGCTATCCACTTGCACGGCATCGCGGGTCGCTTGGGCCGCCGTGGCGACACGTCATCCCACAGTTTCCGACAGCAGGCTCAGGGCGGGACACATCGGCCCTCACGCGTCCAATCATTGCCGGTTTGGGCCTGACGACAGCCCCCCGCGGGCGCCTATCGCCGATCAATCGGCGATGTATCGCCGATTCCAGCTCGATGTTCCCCACCCCCCCCGAGCCAGTCTCCCCCCCTTCTCGTTCTCCCTCGTGAGCTTCCGGATGTCCGCGCAGATTTCTTGGGCGCTGGCCTCACGTTTTCCCCCCTGGCGCGTTCCGTCAGCGGCACCGCAAGAGGTAACCTCGAAGGGTCTTTAATTTTGATCGCCCCCTGTTTCTCGCAGCGGGAAGCACACTCGACCTTGCTCCTCCTCCTCCTCCTCCTCCTCCTCCAACTTCCCCCCCTCCTCCTCCTGCTCCTGCTCCTCCTCCTCCTCCTCCTCCTCCTTATCCTCTTCCTTCTCCTCCTCGTCCTCCCCCCTGCTCCTCGTGGTCGTTATCGTAGTCGTCGTCGTCGTCGTCGTCGTCGTCGTCGTCGTCGTCGTCGTCGTCGTAGTCGTCGTCGTCGTCGTCGTCGTCGTCGTCGTCGTCGTCGTCGTCGTCGTCGTCGTCGTCGTCGCGGCGGAAACAATTTTGGGCTGTTTTGGAGGCCTCTTGGGAGCCTCTTGGGCCGTCTTCGGTCGTCTTGAGGCCATCTTGGGCCCTCTTAGAGGCTTCTTGGGTGGACTTCGAGGCATCTTGGACTCTCTTGGACCGTCTTGGAGGCCACTTTGTACAATCTTCGGCGAATTTGGAGGCCATCTTCGCCGTCGGAGGCCATCGAGGCCGTCTTGGAAACGTTGGTTGTGTAGCGGCGCGGCCTTCCGGGTGGCCGGCGGGACGGGCCGAAGGAACCCGGAAAGCGATTTAGAACTCCGAGGAATGGAAACGTTTCCAAGCACCTTAATTGGGCGATGGGCAGTGGCAATGCCGAAGATGTCAATTTTGATGACGCTGTGCCAGGGGCTGTGTTGTACTGCCCTGCGCTGTGCCGCGCCGCACAGTGGCGTGCCAGGGGACGCGCCACGGAACGTGCCAATGGACGTGCCAGGTGACGTGCCAACGCGCCGCGCGATGTGCCAGGGGGACGCGCCACGGGACGCGCCAGGGGGACGCGCCAGGGGGACGCGCCACGGAACGTGCCAGCGGACGTGCAAGGGGACGTGCCAGGGGACGTGCCAAGGGGCCATCCGGGGGGCGCTTTGGGGTCGCAGGCTCGAAATGTCCGTTCGGGTTCCTTCTCTGGGCCCCATCTAAGGGCTGTCCTGGGGCCCCTTTGGGCCGTCTTGGGGGCTTCTTGTGCGGTCTTGGGGCCCTCTTGGGTCGTCTATGAGCCCTCTTGGGGGCCTCTTGGGCCTTCTTTGGGCGATCTAGAATGCTTCTTGGACCGCCTTCGTCGTTGTCAAGGCACAAGAGGCGAATGTGCTAAGCATGCACGTTTTCAAGAGGGAGTGGGGCGATGTTTGCTCTTTGAGGCCGTCTTGGAACGCCTCTTCGGTGCTCTTTGGGGCGTCTTGGGGACCTCTTGGGCTGTGTGGAGGCCAGCGTGAACGTTTTGGATTGATCGTTCGGCGGCTCGTGGCCCTCTTGGAACGTCCCGACGACCTCTTGGGGCCCTCTTGGCGTGTTTTGGGACCCAGTGTCTCCCCGTGACGCGTTCGGGGGGACTCCCCCCTCCAAATCGACCGGACCGGCTCCCGGGGGAGGGGCTTGGGGAGGGAAAGCATCTCACAAGCCGATGAACCCCAAGGGGTCGGCGGACTTTACGTCCTTCGGTTGGTCGGCGGTGGCTTGGGGGCCTGGGGGTGTCCCGCTGGTGTCCCGTGGTGGCGCGGTGTCCCGTGGTGTCCCGTGGTGTTCCGTGGCGCGGTGTCCCATGGTGTCCCGTGGTCTCCCGTGAGGCCAAAAGTGAGATCCATAGTGAGATCGGTAACGAGATCGATAGACAAATCGATAGTGAGATCGACTGTGAGGTATACTCTTATATCAATCGGGGGTGGACAGAACCCCCAACAGTGACACGTCGATTAGTGAATTGTCCGTTTTCGGTTTTCGAGAGGGCGCCGTGGCCGTTATTTTCCAGGCTTGCGCCCGCCAGGTTTGGGCCTCAGGTCGTTTTCACTAAACCACGTTTTACTAAAGGGAGGTCTGTCCATCCCCGAATATCCATAGATAGATAGAGAGAGAGAGAGAGGAAAAAGAGAGCGAGCTTGATAGTGAGATCGGTAGGCAGGCAAGCAGCTAGAACAGGCGAGTGGTAACGCCAAGCTCTGCCAGCGCACTCCTGGCCTCAGCGCCCGCACTCTGTGAGCATGGCACTCGTGCGCATCCCCCACGGTTCTCTGAGAGCGGCCTGGTCGCGCTGTCGCTGCTAGACGATCGGCAAGTTTTGGTTCAGAGCAAAACGCGTTGACGATATCGAGTGCAGTACCGTGAAATCGGAGGTTGGCATTGGGGTCGATTGTGCGTCCGACAACGAGGTCGATTGATTGGAGGTTTGGGGGGGGGTGCTATGGATAGATAATGCGATCGATAGTGAGATCGATAG